CAATGATTTTTTTCGCATTATTATAAATATTTCAGGCTTATTTTAATGTGTAATAAATAATTAACAAAAATAATTACAAAATATACTATATTTAGATTCCACCAAATAAACCGAAACTGTAAAAAATGAACACATGAATATTAAAATTCTTACAATTGTTTCAGAAGCGATTGATTCTTCATGAATTCTATTAACATGTCGTATCAAATGATGTTTAAGTTTTGCAGTGTATCCACAGTTTTTATAGTGACATTTGAATGGTCGTTCTTCAGAATGTACTTTCATGTGTTTTCATAAAGTTCCACTTTGGGTGAATTTTCTCCCACAAGTACCGCAGACGTAGTTTTTTTGGTCACTATAAATTCTCTTGTGCTCCTTTAAGTATTGTTTAGTCGTAAATACTTCTCCGCATGTAGTACATCGATAGTTCTGTTTCTCAGCCTTTATAAAAATATTTGTTATGTAATTATTATTAAATTTCAAATTATTTATAAATTTTTATTATAAATATTTTCTACTTGTATATTTTACTATTATATTTTTATATGTATTTTTCTATGACACTTGACAATTCCAATGTTTTTTTTTCGACACAATTTCAAATAAAAGAATTGATAAAATATTAGCAATGCATTACAAGACAGAGCCGATTGGGGGTGAAACGCTGGTAGTCAAACGTGGCTGTGTTTCTTGTCAAATGGCTGACCACGTAAGGTTTTACAGGTTTCTTCGCGTTTCTAACGGCTAACTACAGGCCAGTTTCAAAAAAGTCATTCGAGAGACATTCCGCGCATGTCACCTAGACGTGCGTTGCCATTTACAAATAAAACGAAACAAATTAAAAGTTTGACTTACCATTCTGGATTTTAAGGAAAGTGTTGATAATCTAAACTTTAAATTCTAAAGTTTAAATTCACTGTATGAAATTCCACAAAATAAGAAACCAACAATGTACTACTATAATGTGAGATTCGCTAATTGTTGTATGCGTTTGATCAATTGCATGTATCTGTTAGCAAACGAAGAGTAAGAAGCAAGTTAAAGTATTTTTCGTAATTGTGTAACATACACTAAAAGAAACTTTGAGAGCATTGCGTCTGCAGTGACATTTCTAAATTATTCTCTAAATACCTTAGATATTTATAACGTATAGGTCTATGTAATATATTTATAATCAACGTATTTGATAAAAGGCATTGAATGTGCTGTAAAATAAAATAAAGTGTTTAATTTTATTATAGAACATTACCCTACTTACAATTATGAAAAAATTTTAAATGCCTTACCTGAATGAAGAAAACTTTGTGTTCGTATTGAATTTTTCGCACTACTATTTCTAATTTTTCAACAAGTTAGTTAACTAAACAACATGTTATAAACTGAAATCATAATAGACCAAAAACTGATCCTTGAAAAATGTTTCGTAACTTTTGAATAAACATAAATGCATTTTTTTACGTCTTAATTTCCCTTATCTAAATAGGATATCAATCGTTATTTGAATTTGAAATTTAACGATTGTTTGTTTTATAGCGGCTTTTTTTCTCCCTTGCTACAGGGTTCAATGCACGATCTTATTAGTGCCCTAAACAGGAGACTTGAACGTAGTGAACTAAATGAAATTTTATCTTTTAAAAATTGGTAATTATGGTTGAATTCGTCCTTAGCGCCATACAATTTTCCCACTATTATACATTTTAGAAACTAGTACACGTTAAAATACTCCTATTCCATACTGTTTGAAGAGATATTTAACAGCCATAGCAATCATATGTGGCATAATGACATTGCAGGCTATTCAAGACCCATATCTTTAAAAACCACTGCAAAAACTCTTCCCTGTGACACTTTTCGTGTTTTAAACATCGATAAAACAGTTCTTTATTACCTAAGTTGAAGCTGTTTTCTGTTATAAAAGTGGTTGTAACTGTTGAATTTCATTTGTACCTAGTATGGTGGGCATCACCTTGCTGGAACGAACTAAACTTGTCAAGCTGTTTTAAATAATCATTGGCAATGCTGCAGCTGCAATTCTAGAGTTTTTTTTCGCCATCGTAAGAATTTTTCTGATTTAAAAGAAAAATTTGCTAGTGAAAGCACATCTGGGCCTAGACTTGAGTGACGTCATTTTTTATATATAACCAGATAATATTTCTTATAAAATTACTTTTAAATAAGGTAGTCATCAAATTGCCAGAAACGTTCAATTCTTTAAACTTAAATTTATTCAGTTAAAGTTGGTCGGTTTTCAGAAATATAATTATAAAAAACGTTTTAGAAATAGCCTATATAGTTTTTTGTTATGCGCATTATACAAGAAATAAGAAAAGATAACTGTTATAATTTTGTTTTGTACAAATTTATGTACAGTAATTTTTATCAAATAATTTTAAGACTAAATTTACTTTGTACATTCACTTGCATTTTATTCACTTGCAGTCGTTGCCCCTTGTGACAGTTCCGTTAAATTCCATACATTACGTTTTCTTAGGGTCTCCATTTCTTCTTCCAAGTGCTCTACATTATCTTTGGCTATCTTTTCACCAACTGTGGCAGATTCTTCTATGGTTTTCATTTTATATTTCTTTCTGGGTCGCCCTATATCCTGTTCGAGCGATTCATGACTCCCACTTGCTCTTACCAGTTCATTACACTCGTTGGTAAATTTGACATCTTTGCTTGTTATAACACTTTTTTGTGTGTTCCATCGACAATATGCTTTTGTTTTGCTAGAGTAGCCTATAAATATACATTTGGTGGATTTCTCATAAAATTTTCTTTTTCCTGGTTTCTTTCCTAATGCAAATGCCATTTGACCGAATGTTCTAAAATATTTGATTGTTGGCATTACCAGTTCATATTTTGAAGGGTATGTCACTTTCCAGGCTCGTTTATAGACATGTATTTCTAATATATGATGCGGTATATATAGCTTCTACCAAAAAGCATTTTCTTAATCCTATTTAGAGAAGCATGCATCTTCCCATTTCCACTAGCGTTCTATTTCTTACCTCTGCAATGCCATTTTGTTGTGATGTGTAGCAGGCTGTTTTTTCATGCCTAAACCTTTTACATTTCAAGAAGTTCTGAAATTTTCCATTAGTATTCTCGGTTCCATTGCCACTCCTTATTGTTATCTGTCTTCCTGTTTTACTTTCTACAAAGGCTAAGTATGTTTTGAAATTTTTCGAGAGCTTCACTTTTGTTTTTCATGAAATATATTTAACACCATCTAGAATAATCATCAATATATGGTATGAAATATTTCGATCCACTCAATGATGAGGTTCTCTTTGGTCCACAATTGTCAGTACGAATTAGTTCTAATATTTTTCTGCATCTCTTCTTGTATTGTTTCAGGAAATAGTAATCTGGTTTGTTTCCCTCTTATGCAGATCTCACAGGGGTCAAGCTCTTCTTTTCGTCCTATATTTAGTCCTCTGATCTTAAGGCTGTGTACACACTAGGCGTTTTTCAACGCGCGTTCGACGAGCGTTTAGCGGAGCGTGCGCACTGGCTCGGTTTGGAAATGGATGTGGAAGTGATTGCTTGTGTGTGGCTCCTCTATTGTCGCTATAAAAGACGACGGCAGAGGCAAAGAGAATTTTGGTGCACCCAATATTACGAGATAGACTGACACATGAAATGTTTGCGACGTTGTATCCAAAACTACGACAATATGAACCTAAGTTTTTTAATTATTTTAAAATGTCTATAAAATCATTTGACGACTTACTCCATATTATAAAAGTAGATATTACCCAAAAGCGCGCGATCGAATATACAGCAAAATGGCGGCGTAAATCTAGAAGCGCCCGTAAAGCGACGGGAAAACGCGCGATCGCATGTACGGTAACATGGCAGCACATATATCTCAAAGCGCTTGGCTGACGCCCGCAAAACGCGCGATCGCATGTACGGTAACATGGCAGCACATATATCTCCGCCCGTAAAGCGCTCGCAAAACGCGCGTTTTAACAAAAATCTATAAACTCGCGTTTAACGCGCGCTTGGCATTTGAGTGTGTACCTCTGCATAGAACTCTTGGTTCTTTAAAACGCGCGTTTAAAAGCGCGCATTTAACGCGCGTTGAAAAACGCCTAGTGTGTACAGGGCCTAAATCCATGATCAGTTGTCATCTCAACTGACAGTAAGTTAATCTTGAGTTCTGGTATGAGGAGTGTTCTCTAATTTGGCTTGAAATCCGCCTTTCGATTCAATTATAACATCACCATTTCCATTGATTTAGCATTGTAGATGAGTTGGCAAAGCTTTGGCAAAAATAAATATAAATTACGTCACTTAAGCATCAATAGGCGTCACCTACGTAACTTTGGCGGCCATAAGCGTCAATTACGTCATTTATGCGGCCATTGTCGTTACTTACGTCATTTTGGCGACCACAAGCGTTTGTTACTCACATTGGCGGCAATAAATGTGATTTACGTTAGTTTGGCAGCAATTGGCGTCAATTAAGTCATATTGGCAACCATAAACGTCACTTACGTAAGTTTTTTTGGTTATAGGCGTCACTCACGTCACTTTTGTTGTTATAGGCGTAAATTACGTCATTTTGGCAATTATAGACGTCAATTACGTCATTTTGGCAATTATAAACGTCAATTACGTCATTTTGGCAAGAATAAACATAAATTACGTCTTTTTGGGTGCCATAAACGTCAATTACGTCATTTTGGCAACAATAAACATAAATTACGTTTTTTTGCGCTTATAAGCGTAACTTACGTCATTTTAGCTGCTATCAGCGTCACTCACATTACTTTCACGGTTATAAGCGTAACTTACTTGACTTTTACAATTATAAACGTCACTTACGTCCCTTTGGCGGCCATAAGCATAAATTACGTCACTTCGGCGGTTATAAACGTTAATTACGTTATTTTGGCAACAATAACATAAATTACGTCACTTTGGCAGCAATAAGCGTCACTCACGTTACTTTGGCGTTCACAAACGTTAATCACGTAACTTTTGCAGCCATGGTCGTCACTTACGTTACTTTGGCGACATCAAGCGTCTGCTACGTCACATTGGCAACAATAGGTGTCACTTACGTTAGTTTGGTGGACATTGGCATCAATTACGTCATTTTGGCAACTATAAACGTCACCTACGTTAGTTTTTCAACCATATGCGTTACTCACGTCACTTTGGCGCCCATAAGCGTTTATTACGTCACTTTGGTAGCCGTATATGTCATATACGTCACTTTGGCAACCATTGGCGTCAATTATGTTACTTTGGCGGCCATAAGCGTAAATTACGTCACTTTAGCAGTTATAAACGTCAATTGCGTTATTTTGGCAAAAATAGACATAAATTACGTCACTTTAGCGGCAATAAACGTCACTTACGTAACTTTGGTGGCCATAAGCGTCAATTACGTCACTTTTGCGGCCATAGTCGGCACTTACGTAACTTCGGCAACCAGAAGCGTATGTTACATCACATTGGCGGCAATAGTTGTGATTTAAGTTAATTTGGCGACAATTGGCGTCAATTACGTCATTTTAACAGCCATGAACGTCACTTACGTAAGTTTTTTTCGCTTATAGGCGTCACTCACGTCACTTTGCCGGCCATAAGCGTTTATAACGTCACTTTGGTGGCCATATATGTCATATACGTCACTTTATATACCATTGGCGTAAATTACGTTATTTTGGCGGTTATGAACGTCAATTACGTCATTTTGGCAACGATAAAAATAAATTACGTTTTTTTGGTGCCTATAAGCGTAATTTACGTCATTTTAGCTGCTATCAGCGTTACTTACATTACTTTCACAGTTATAGGCGTAACTTACGTGACTTTTACAATTATAAACGTCACTTACGTTACTTTGGATACCATAAATGTCATATACGTCACTTTGGATACCATTGGCGTAAATTTCGTTACTTTGGCGGCCATAAGCATAAATTACATCACTTTGGCAGCCATAAGCATAAATAACGTAACTCCAACGGTTATGAACGTCAATTACGTCATTTTGGCAACAATGAACATAAATTACGTTTCTTTTGCGCCTATAAGCGTAACTTACGTCATTTTAGCTGCTATCAGCGTCACTCACATTACTTTCACGGTTATAGGCGTAACTTACGTGACTGTTGCAATTATAAACGTAACTTACGTCACTTTGGCGGCTATATATGCCATATACGTGACATTGGATACCATTGGCGTCAATTTCGCTACTTTGGCGGTTATAAGCATTAATTACGTCAGTTTGGTGGCCATAATCATAAATCACGTCACTTCGCCATTTATAAACGTTAATTACGTCATTTTCGCAACAATAAACATAAATTACGTTACTTTGGCTGCAATAGGCGTCACTTACGTAACTTTGACGACCATAGGCGTTAATTACATAACTTTTGCGGCCATAGGCGTCACTCACGTCCCTTTGGCCACCATATTCTTTACTTACGTGACTTTGGCAACCATTTGCGTTAATTACGTCACTTTGAGAGCTATAGGTGTCAATTACGTCACTTTAGAAATGATATGCGTAAATTACGTCACTTTGGTAGTTATTGGCTTTTTTACGTCATTTTAGTGGCAATAGCTATAATTGAAAAATTATATTATTGTTAATTTTATAGTTTCTTAAAAAGAATTTTAATACTATATAACATCGTAATGTAAAAGTTACCTATTGTTAATCGTATGATTTTTTAAAACCTCACTTTTTTCTTTTTTATTGATCTTCGTTATATTTGTTTTCAAACTTAAATTAAATTCAAAAATTATTTTTACAGTCATTTATTAGTTATATCAAAAACTTTTAATACTATATGACATTGTCACGTAAAAGCTATATATTACTCATGGTAACATTTGTAAAAACCGACTTTTTATTGTTACACTGAGCGCTGCTATTTTCAATTTATAACTTTACGAAAATTGAAAATTTATCTTTTTGTTTATTTTATTGTTTTTCCGGGAAAATTTTAATACTATATAACATCGTGACATGAAATTTATGTATTATTTATCGCAACATGTGTCATAACCGATCTTTTTGTTTTTCAGTGAGCGCTGTTATTTTTGATTTAGAACTTTGTTAAAATTAAGAAATTAGTCATTTATTCATTATATACAGTCGACCCCCCTATAATTACAGTTCCTACAATAACGATTACTATAAAACTGCGAAAAAATGTGACGGTTTCCGTATAAAAAAGATAAAAAAACTCTTATAATTACGAAAAACTTCATCAGGCAGCCGAACTACTTTTCCGACGTCCATAGCGCTACGCTACAGAGAGATTTCTATCGTTTGGACAGTATTATATAAATTTCTATAAATTAGGTACTGTGCAAATAATTATGTATTAATTATATATAAATTAGGTACTGTATATATAATTATATATTAACTTATTGTAAATTTATTATAATTAAATATACAATTTTTGCCATCCAGCTTAACACCACGCTACAAAGATTTTACGCAAACTATCGTCTGTACAGTATGTAAATTAAGTACCGTAACTCTAATACAGTACTGTAATTTTATACATTTCTTGTGAAAAAAACATTTCTTATTCAACAGCGATTAAAATTATTTATATTAATGATGCTTCCGAAGTTTAACGAAGTTTTCGCAAAAAAATAAGTTATTAGAAATAAGCCGTAGTTTGGTGTGCTGCTTCGCGACGAAAACAAGCTTTAGCAATGGGTTTGTCGAACGGTGCACACTCGGTAAGTAATCCTATAATTTTAGTTTATAGCGTAGTTTATACAGATTATTTCCAAAAAATATATACGTATTTTAGAAATGTTGAGTCGGATTAGTCTAGAATCTATTAATTTTATGGAAGAAAACTTTTAATCAGCCGTAGTTCGTAAACTTCACACGTGTCCAGCTGTGATTGAAAAAACTTGTAAGAAATCGGATTTCTAAAAAATTGAACATATCTATGATTTTATAGGAAGGTCGACTGTAGTTTCTTTAAAAAATTTTAATACGATGACACATCATAACGTGAAAGCTATCTATTTTTCATCGTAACATTTTTCAAAACTGAACTTCTCATTTTTCACTGAGCGCTGTCACCTTAAATTTGAAACTTTGCAAAAATTGATAAAGTATTCTTTCGTTTATTATATAGTTTTCTTGAAAAAATTTTGATACTATATAACTTCGTAACGTAAAAAATATGTATAATTTATCGTACTATGTGTCAAAACCTAGCTTTTTTATTTTTTCACTAAGCGCCGCCATTTTGAATTTCGAGCGTAGCTAAAATTTAAAAAATCATTTACTTCGTCATTTTTTAGTTTTTTCGAAAACTTTCAATACTATATGACATCGTAACGTAAAATCTACGTATTATTCATCGCAACCTGTGTGAAAACTGAACTTTTCATTTTTTGACTGGACTCCGCCATTTTAAATTTTAAATTTTGTTAAAATCAAAATATCATTTTTATACTCATTTTATAGTTTTTTTTAAATGATTTTCATACTATATAACATCGTAATGTAAAACTTATCTATTGTTTATCGTAACATGTTTTGAAACTGAACTTCCTATTTTTTTACTCAAAGCAGCAATCTTAAAATTAAAAAATTGTTTTTTGGGTCATTTATTTGTATTTCTTTTCTGAATTAAATCTTTAGTCTACTACTCTATTTTCGAAATTTTATTAGGGTATTATTTTTAGTTCGAAAAAACTTCACTTTCGCTACACAAGTTGTAAGAATCACCAAGAATACTAATCTGCTGAAATAATTAATACCACTTAATTTGCACTATTTCGAGATACTAGGCTTATTTGTCTACAAAAACGGCTTTTCCCGAAGTTATGAAAACGAGTGTGGCAAGTTTTTCAGTTAACTTAATATTTAAAGTTCAAGTTGGTGATGGCTAATTCACATTCTCCTTATGTCAATATCTAGAAACATTTCTTGACAAAATATAAATAAGAAAGTAAACAAAATAAACAATACTAATACATTATAAGAAATAATCAAATAATTTAAAACAGTCAATCAAAAAACAAATAATCAAATGAAGCGCAACAAAAAAAAAATGAATTTTAATAAAAAAAAATATCTTGGTTGATAAAAACGTCGTTCAACTTACTTTAACGGCCATAGGCGTCACTTACGTCACTTTTGCAGTCATAGTCGTCAATTACGTCATATTAGCAGCCATTAGCGTCACTTTCGTCAGTTTGGCAACTATAGGCGTCAATAACGTAAATTTGGCGGCCATATTCGTCACTTACGTCACTTAAACAACTATAGGCGTTAATTACGTCACTTTGGCGGCCATAGTCGTCACTTACGTAACTTTAGCCACAACAAGCGTTTGTAACGTCACTTTGGTGGCAATATGTGTCACTTACGTCACTTTGGCGGAAATATACGTCATTTACGTAGCTTTGGCGGCCATAGTCGTTACTTTTGTCACTTTGACGACCACAAGCGTTTGTTACGTCACATTGGCAACAATAGGTGTAATTTACATTANTATTTAATTGAAGAATATTATAAATTTTAAACATATTTTTAAGTGAGTAGAGACGAAATGAGATAAATCAGTAACAAACTATGAAATAATTTCTTTTTTATGAACAAATATCATTAAAATAGTAGTGACAAAGCAAACTAATCCGATGTAAACAATCGCCGAAATAAACACCGAATTAATCATCCAAAGTGTAAATAGGTAGAGTTTCTTGTTGCAATATTGCTTATCGTATTTATCGTCGTAAACGGGTGGATACATTTTGTACACCCACACGCAACCTGAAATAATTATTGATTTAGAAACGGTAAAAGAAAAATGAAGTACTGTATTTAATAATTTTACCTAAAATAAACCAAGACAACAGAAATATCAGTAGTGTTATAAGAGGAATCTTTAAATATGTCTTCCTTTTTTTAAAATTTTCTATAAATCTATTAGTGGCAAAAAGTATGGTCTCGATAAAAAGTCCTATACCCCCAATTATCAAAAATATTGGCACCTTATTCTGAGCTGGACATTCTGTTAAGTACGTTACACCTGAAACAACCGCAGAAATCAGTGTAAACAATTCTATAATCTCTTACAATTAATTTGCATACCGAATGAAACCATCGAGAATGGAATTACGATGAAGAATGCCAAAACTGTTAAGTAGGAAACTGAAATGAATTATTAATTAAGGCTGCAGATATCATTTAGAATGCATTCTTTGTTATTAAACATACCAATCCTGAACATAATTTTATTTACAGCTTTCATAACTTCGAACATTTTATCAGATTCGATTTGCTGTTTCAGATCTTGAGGAAGAAGCGATTCCTGATATCCTGGCGTTAATGAGTTTAATTGATTTATAAAAATATATTTATTACGTAATTATTCCATTTACCTAAAAGAATTGTAGCATAATATTCTCGTTTCTTTTTTCCATTCGTCTTTTTGTGTTTCTCACTTTTAGGAAGTTCAGCATCTTGTTTAATTGAAGTAATTGCTTTGGGTGTTTGAAACGTAGTTTCTTCTTCAACTACTTTCTCCTAAATAAATGTTTAGTTGCATTATATTTTGTAAATTTTATTATTAATTATAATTAAAATATAAAGTAAATTAGAAAATAAATGCACTTTTGTTTTATTTTTTATGTAATTTTTCTGCTTATATGAAACATTAGCAAACCACAAAACACCATTGGAGCTTTAATCTTTACTCATTAGGGACCTGCATGATCCTCAATCACAACACTACAAACATTTTTGTTTTTACTATTTCTTTTCTATGGGCACTAAGACATTCTCTTTTAGGACTTATGGTGACTTTGGCCATTTCCATAACTAGGTGATCACCTAGTGAAGGATCGGAGAGACTAATATAATCGAGGCAAAGTACTCCTGGAAAATTCCTAGGATTTTTCGACAGTTCGTATTCCATTTCAGGCCCTTAATTAATTAATCTCGAGTTTTTCGTGTTGTACTCGAATTGACGTCATCGAACTCACTCGGGTTGTTATGACTCATAGTCGGTAGTCTCGAGTTAGGCCCATCGAGCGAAATCGAAAAAGAAGCAGAAGTAGGTCATATTCACTTGTTTACGTGTGTCGTTAAGCATGACGAAATTATTTACAATACATTTGGGTTTGCGACTATAATGATTCGACCAATCAACATTATTGTAACAAGTTGTAAACAAATCAAAGTGAATTAGTTTACACGTGTTATAGTTAAAAGTATTTTATTATAGCAATATAGTACGCAGAAAAAAATGGAAACTTATTGTATTTAAAAAAAATAAGCAAAAAGAACAAAAAGAAATATTAGTGACATATATAGAAAATAATAAGAGAATGAACAGTGGAAAATTCGACAACGAATTTACAAGAAAAAGACAATTTGATTTGTGGAGAGAATTAGATCGAAAATTAATTGTGTATTGGAGGTAAATAATCCGTTGAGTAATGTAAAAAGTATTTTAATTTAATCCTTTTTTCATATAGTTTTCTTCCTTAATGTATTTCTTAAATTGTTTTGTTTATTTATCAGAACTTAACACTTCTGATTAATAAATATTCGTATTATAGTGTCAATACTCTTAAAAATTTATAGATATACTTTACTATCATTTTAATTTCCTTTTTCGATGAATTAGATACTTCTTTTTATTTTTGAAAAAAATTGCTGTATAATTTTATTAATTATGACATAAAAATTTTTATTAATGTTGACTTGACAGGAAAAGAAATGGCATCTACTCGTAATCGAAATATTCATTGCCTTAATTAAATTAATTAAACAACTCTCTCCCTTAACGCTTCGATATCGATCAGAATAGCGTACCTGTCAGCCATTTTCACTTTCGTGTAGCGATGTCACATGCTGAACTCAAAGTGAGTAGCAACTCGCATGGTGAGATGCGAAATCACGTGAATTATAACTCGAGACTACCAATTTGACGTCAGAGTGTGAGATGGTACCACGGGACACTTTCAACACGTTGGGAGTTGTAACACGAAAAACTCGAAACTATGGGCCCCGGACTCTCATTCATAGCAGGGGTATGCTAGGTTAAAACTAACGATAATCCAGCCAGCAATTGTTAAAGTAGTTTACTCATGCAATGTACATTCTTCGAATAGTCTAAAATGTTATCTGAATCATACAGGAGTGCGCCCTGGCAATGAATGTACAGCAATGTCTGCAGCATTTATATCACAGATAAATTACTAAAATTTGTAATAACAGAAAAATGTTTAGTATCTCCGCGCAATAGGGACTGTTTATTCCGGATTAGCGAACATCTAATGTATGTTGTAAAATTTAAGTTATGATCTCGAAAAAATTTCTATCAGTTACTTACTTTAAATTCCGTGAAATTGCTATCAATTACTTACATTGAGGCTTTCAGTTATTTGCTCCTCTTTAAGCTTTTCAGAACGTTTTCTTTGATCTTTCGAATTACTCTTGATGGTTTCTTCAGTAGTTTTAATTATTTGTTTATCCTATACCCAATAATAAAAAGTTTCATTTTTAATATTAAATAATTAATAATATATAAATCAGAAAATATCAGTTTTCAATTACTTGCTCCTCAAAAATGTCTTCTTTCAATCTTTCACCGTTTTCATTACTATTTATCGGCATATTGAAAGGTTATCGACAATACCATATGACAATAAAATTAAACTAAACAAGGAAATACTTTACTTCATTGTTATGATTGTTTTGTAAATAAGTTAGCAAAATGAAAAATCTTCATAAACATTCTATTGGTCATTTAAATTTCAATTTTGTTACTTTGGCAGCTATTAGCATAAATTACGTCACTTTAACAGTCATAAACGTTAATTACGTTATTTTTGCAAAAGTAAATATGAATTACGTTTTTTCGGCGGCCATAAACGTCAATTTCGTCATTTTGGCAACAATAAACATAAATTACGTTTTTTTGGCGTTTATAAGTGTAACTTACGTCATTTTATCTGCTATCGGCGTTACTTCCATTACTTTCACGATTATAAGCGTAACTTACATGACTTTAACAATTATAAACGTCACTTTTGTCACTTTGGCAACAATATATGTCATATACGTCACTTTAAATACCATTAACGTCAATTTCGTTATTTTGGTGGCCATAAGCGTAGATTACGTTACTTTGGCTATTATAAACGTCAATTACGTC